TGGGATTTGGCACCGTGTATAAGTGGTGTTAACCGACGTTTCGGAGGAACGTATCGCCTCCATCTTCAGGGTAGAAGAAAAAGTATAAGAAATCTGCAAGCGACAAGACCGTGAGTCTGCTTTTACCGTTCTCACGGTCTTGTCGCTTGCAGATTCCTTATACTTTTTCTTCTACCCTTAAGAAGGAGGCGATACGTTCCTCCGAAACGTCGGTTAACACCACTTATACACGGTGCCAAATCCCAAAAGACTGCTTTCTTCTCAGTATTAATTCTAATTCAGAAGCGTATGGGGATTGGCGTCCCTTATGTTATCGTCTTTGGAACGAAATCGATAATCGATATGAATTGTAGTTTAGTGGCGCTTTAGGAATTCAGGTTTAATGTCAGGAAATTGTAGTGTTCTAACGAGTTATTAGTCCTAAACTTATAGTTGAATTTATATGCAAGGTATTTTTGTGTAATTTTTTATTATTGTGTTGTAATGTCTTTCATAACTTGTGAGCTTAGACTTTTTTTTTTACATTTAAATTGCTGCACACAAAGTCTTCTGCATATATAAAACACCGTTATGAGAGGTAAAATTCATTAAAATAATTGTAGTCGCCAGACTTTCCCTGCTGGAGGTTAGTGTATGATTTCAGCTTTCGGAAATAAGCTACGTAGAATGTTGGTTTTCGTAAAACACTGCACGTGCAGTCTTCAAGGTTAATGACGTGTCTTATGTAAACCTCGCAATGGACAGCGAGTCAGTAGTTCGATCCCGGGGTCTGGTCAAGTGGAATATGTGGTGGACAAAGTGGCGCTGATGGGGTTTTCTCCGAATACTTCAGTTTCCCCTGCCAATCTTCATTCCACCAGATTATCCATCATAATCACCCGGGGCAGGCTACGATAGGTCAATCAGTGGCCGCCGTACCGAATGGACCCAGTTGGACTCCACCCCCAATTAAGCGAATTAAAAAAAAAATTATTGGACGAATCACAGCAGCTGATAACAGTAATGTCTATTTAGTCCAATCACGGTTTCACTTTCGACTAGTCCATGCTAGGCCACCGGTAGATATGTATAAGGACCGTTAAAGTGTGTTATGCACAATTTTGCGTGAGGTCTTTAATCTTTTCTATGCTGCAGACATATGTATAGGTCCTTTGGCATTTCCTCATCCTAAATTAGCCGAGGGAACTCAGTTCGTATAGGGTTACTTATAAGAACTTTACAAGATGAAAATATGTAAGGAGTGTCTGAGCTCGAAAACCTCTTGGAATGTCATCAGCTCAGCACTGTTGAATCATTTATGTATGATTTTGAGATTCATTTATTCTGGCATGGCTTTACAGAGTAGTGACTAATTACTTATGCCCTTTTATGTGTACATTTTATATAGTGGCACTGTTTATTGTTACATGTTTGTATTTGTGTAAGTAAAGTTAGAATAGAATAGAAACATGAAACATCTTGTCAGAGTGACCAAATGATTTGTGAGAAAATCACAGGCGGTAGTGATGTTCCAGCAACAGTGGTTGTGGAGAATTTTTAATATGGGATGTATTGTTATGTAATATGTAGGAAGTCAACTGACATTTCAGAGAAGCATGTTACCTCCATCTTTGACCTTGAAGATGGAGGCAACGTTTCCCTCCAAAATGTTGGATGCCTTTCCGGAGACAGCACAGCATTATAACCCAGAAGGTAGAACTGTTTAAGATCTAATATGATTATACTGTAGATGCCAAGTTGAGCTGATTGTTGGTAAATTGCCAGTTGTAAAATAACTCAGACTCTGACATTGACACTGACTATCTACTGTGTTAGTGTTGGGGCCATGCTACATGTTCACTGTATTCTGAAGTTGTTTTCTGTCTGCCTGACATTCAGTGGTGTCTAATGGAAATATGATTTTGTTTTTAGATACTTGTGGTCCGTGGATGTTAGAGCTAAGCAATCGACTTGCAGCTTGTAAGTATATTTTCTAACTGCATTAATATTAAACATTCAGTATTACCACTTCCACTATGATAAGAATCATGTCAATTGTTCAAGTGGGAATTTAATGTTGGTTATTGGCAACCGTAACAATTAATATGCAGAAGACAGATGCGCTGGCAATGATAAGATATGCATAACAGGAAGTAAATAATGTAGGCATATGTAATGTATATGTAAAATTAAATTTGTTGCCTTAGTTGACATATTTTTCATTTGAGTGCATGGTTTGTTTTATGTAAAGTTTATTTAAACTATCAAATAATGTCGAAGCCCTGGTTGTTCTAAAGTGCCTTCAAAATGTTGTTTACACTTCAGTTTTGGCTAGAGATCACACAGAATTGCATCAGAACTCACTGTCAGAGAGGTGTAATAGAGAGACAGCCCCTCTTGTTGACTTTTATCAGAGATTCATTTGTTTTGTAGGCATAATTAGTATACAGATTTGACATGTTCTCTTATAACAGTATTTTAATAACTTAACATGTCAAGTCATTCACTTCCGTAGTTAAGAGAAATGCCCAGAATATTGCAAATGAATGTGTTTGCTTCTGTGGGCGAGTCTTATACTGTACTGCCCCCTATGTTCTATATATGTTATTAACTTGAGATTTTTCCATACGTGTCATTTCCATACACAGTGCATGACTCTGCCTCTGTGGGTTGTATACAAAATGTTCTAACATCTGCCATTCACTTACAGTGTTCTTATTTGAGTTCTTGTGAATTGGCATAGATGGCAGATGGTGGCTTTCTAGTATACTTGTACTTGAATGCTGTGATTGAAAAGTACAAGATATTTTGGCTGATACAGTGGAGTTAGGAACTCTGGTAATTTTATGGTGTGGAAGAGGTTGAAACTTGTCAAAATATAGGAAAGCTCTGCATCATGGGTGCTGATAATTCTTCTTTTTCTTCCATCGATATTCCCACTTTCATGTAGACCATCTTACAACCAAGCTTCCCCATTTCTATTTTGTTTCCCCGGATTTTTTCAATTGACCTAATCCTTCCAGCTGCACTATGAACCTAGGGTTGACTCAGCCTCTAACAGAAATGAGTACCAGGAATTTTCTTGGGGGGTAAAGGCCTTTCGGCGCATAAGGCTGACATCCTCACTGCCATCTGTGAGCCGACTATCAGGAAAATACAGGAACCTCGACGTCTCACAGCCCTATGGGTCTTCACAGCCTGTTACAGGGATAGCTTTATCTTTTTACTTTTCCCAAAGCTCCCCCACCTCCTCGGTGTCCTCACATGTTGCTCCTTCCACATGACTTCTTTCCTAACCTGTTGTTCCCATCTCGACAAGTTGGAACGTATGCATGTAAGGTTTAAGGCAGATTTGAAAATAAGAATTTCCACTACATTCACAAACCTTTCCTTACATAAAAGTACAGTGTTATAATAAATAACAGCAGGAACTTCTGATATGATGGTCACTTTATTATTTATTTCTTATTTTCAGAATCTGGTCACTAATTATAATAAATAATTATATGAATAACTTAATAAATAGGTTGAGACAAACATTAATGCAAGGAAAATACTACACATTTATTACTTTATGATTTTGGATTATAATTATAGGAATGAAAAACAATAATAAAAATAATTAAAAATTACAATAAAGCTTGAAATGTTTGCTACATTACACAAAATTGGGCACAGGTACACAATAGCAGTAAAATAATTTAAATGTATATGAATGATGTAATTACATCTCATGTAATATTAGATATATATATATTTTTTATTTTATCATATGTATTTGAAAATTTAAAATACTATTCTTTAGTACTTATAAGTTGAATGTGTGAAAGGGGATTGAGAGAGGCTGAGGAGGTGGTGACAGGGCTCGTTGTTATTGTCTTCACACTGACTCTGTCCTTGCTTCAAACATTTTTGATAGATCAAGCTCGGTGTGGGCAGTTCAGATTATGTTCAGTATTGAAAGTTGCACTAAATGCCCTAACTGAGCCATGATTAGCCCCTCTGAATAATTGCCTTCATAGGAGAAGTGCTTACGTAAATACCATAAATTTGTATCGTAGCATCCTGCTGCACATCCCGTATAATTATTCCTGTTTGTTATTAGCCTTCTTACATGCAACTTGCCCTTTTAAAAACTTAACGAAGTTTTGAACGTTAAAATATCTTCTGTATCACTGGTGTGTATACACTACATGTTTTGACCAACATTGGTCATCTTCAGATGTCTCTAAAATTGCTGATGAAACTGTTGTGCTTCTGTTTGTAAGTTCAGTTTTTGGGGTATGTCCATGTCTATATGCTCATGCATCCCGTGGTGGTGGTTAAGCACAGCAGTTTCATCAGCGATTTTAGAGACATCTGAAGATGACCAGTGTTGGTCGAAACATGTAGTGTGCATACACCAATGATGTAGAAATGATTTTGAAGTTTAAAACTTTCAAAGGTTTTAAAATTGAAGTTGCATGTAAGACAGCTAATAACTAACAAGGAATAAGAAATTTATGTTTCTTCTGTAGGTAAGATTTGAAGACTGAAACTGAATAGCAAAGTGAAAGTAATTATATGGAATGTGGCAGTTTAGTTCTCAAGTCTGATTTTTATATTTGACTGACTAGAGACATACAGAGAGTGAGATATCTTGTGTCTGGGATAACCTGATTCATGTGCAGTGTATGCCAGATTTCTTTTGATTGGTTTTTCATTCACAAGTCTGTGATATTTTAGTAAAGTTTGACAAGTAATCACGTGATGAAGGCCTTTCTGGAAATGGAAGTGGGATTTGGGGGAAACTAAAATTATGCACTAAAATTTTAAAGATAAATACTCAGTTTGGAACTTGTGATTTTTTTCCTTGAAATATTAATACAGTTTCTCTATGACACTAATCTATATCTAAGGACATTGTCCAGAACATGTATTATCTTATTATGGGAACATTTTCATTTCCTTAAGAACAGTATTTTTTAACAATATGGACACATGTCACAGAATGGAATATCTTTCTCCAACATTCAGGCATTCTTACTAGTAAATGGAAATAGTACTCACTTTAAGTAATCTTAAATAAAAACTTCAATTTTTATCAGCTATTCTTTAGAAGAGACTGAATGCCTGAAAATGTTTAAAACAAAGAGAAGGGTGCTGACATTTTTCGTATTATAATTATTTTGGAATTTTTGAAGAGTGAGAAATATAAGGTAGTAATTTTCATTTGCAAATTTTTCTGCAGAGTTCAGTAGTTCAGTGAGGATTTCGCTTGCGACCCATACTACAGATTTTGAAGTAGCAAAGTGGTGGTTGATCTGAAAGAAAAAAATAGGTTTCAAGATTGTGAAGGACATTGTTTTATAAACCAATGACTGCAAATCTCTTTATAGATTTGTTACAATTCAGGAAAACATACCATGACAGTTTTCAGAATTACTGGGTTTTTGGACTCACCTGAGGACAGAAACAGATCCAGTTTCCAAAGCATCATGTTTTCTAGTTTCTAGAATGCTGAACGATGGAAATAGTCCAAGAATCCGGTAATTATGAGTGTTACCATTGTCAGAACCCTTTAGACTCTGCATGGCAATTTCGTTCATGGGTTGTGATGTTATATACTTTGATAACAATAGTTTTGAGAAACATGATGGAACTGGAGTGCGTTTTTGTCCCCTAGAAACAGTAGATATGGAACACAGCCCTTTTTTAACAGCTCACCTTCTTGTCACAAGATGGAAATAGAATTCTGGGAAAGAATTCATGTGACAAAAGGCAATATTGTTTTCCTGAAAAGGGCTGTCGTTTCTCATGGTTCCAATTAACTCATCTTATGGTGAAAAATATGTGCTCATGAAGAGAGTCCATTTATATACCTGCTGTTCCCCTTGGCATGGATCAAGCCCCATTTCCCAAACCTGTGCTGTGTGTCTCAGAGAGACCTCTGTTGCAGTCTGCTCATATACAGAGACATTTCCTCCTAAATGTCAGTATCTGCCTACAAGACTACATGGCATCGTAACCCACAAGCTGAACCCACTTATTTATTATTAATTAATGTTTTCATACTCAGTTTTGAACATTCAGCATTTTTAAGCTGGCAGTTACCTGATGTTAGGTCCCATGAAGTTGTTCGAAGAATATTGAAGGATTTCTGAAACTTAGTGGAGTAATTCAAGTGATTTGAATTTCGTAACAGTGTCTGCAGTGAAATTATGGGTGAGTGGCTATATGAAGATGAAGTTGGTATCTCTTGTTTCAGACTCTGTGTGAGTGCATTATCAAGGGTTGGTATAGGGAGTGGAAACCGCAAATGTTTTTACACAAGAAGTATGTTCTTGGAGTGTGATATGCTGTCCGAGTGCCTTAGAGATCCAGCTACATATTGACAACTGTATAAAGGGTATGGGATTCACTGTAAACAATCTTGGTTCCCAACCACCATTGTGCTTCAACGAGGGAGGGCCATTAAAAGCATCAAATGGAAGGATCAGCAATAGATTTCCATTTTTTCCAGGGTAAACAATATGGATTGTGATGATAGACTACCAGGCCTCACCGACAGTTCCTTGAGTGGTGTGCACTGGGACAGGACACCATTGCTCTGCCTGACCTCATGGGTTGTTCCCTATTGGGCTGCACTGGGAGGAGACACCATTGTCTGCCTGACCCTACCCACTGTTCCCTGAGTGGCCTGCACTGGGAAGAGACACCATTGCCTGTCTGACCCTACCCACTGTTCCCCGAGTGGTCTGCACTGGGAGGAGACACCATTGCCTGCCTGACCATACCCACTGTTCCCTGAGTGGTCTGCACTGGGAGGAGACACCATTGCCTGCCTGACCATACCCACTGTTCCCTGAGTGGTCTGTGCTGGGAGAAGATACCATTGCCTGCCTGACCATACCCACTGTTCCCTGAGTCATCTGCACAGGGAGAAGGCACCATTGCCTGTGTGACCTCACCCACTGTTTCCCCGAGTGGTCCGAACTGGGAGAAGGCACCATTGTCTCCCTGACCTCACCCATTTTTCCCCAAGTGGTCTGCATTGGGAGAAGACACCATTGCATGCCTGACCTCACCCATTGTTCCCCGAGTGGTCTGCACTGGCAGAGGACATGATTGGTTGCCTGAAAAGCCACTGCTATCCTAGGAGTCAACTCTTTTGACAGGACCTCAGGCTTGAAGAGCAAGTTTTTTGGTATACGTAGCGTGCGTAACCACATCATTTGCCACACAAACTGGTGAGGAAGTTAGAGACAGTCTCTGAAATGCTGGATGCTACCTCCATCTTCGTGTAGCTGTTTGCCAAAAAAAGACTTCAGTCTTAACAAATTGTTTTAGGATCCACACGGCTGAATGAAATTTCAGTGTATGGGGTATATACAACATTATTTTTGGAAACATTTATATCTGTAAATTTGTCAAAGTTTGCAGTTAGAACAGCAAGTTAAAAATTTGTATAAATTTTGACCTGTCAAGGAATGTTAATATATTAATATAAGCGCTGTGTGCAAAACAGCAACAATAAGTATAACACTAAAAACTGTAAAGAAAGTGTTCATTTGTATGTTTGATGAAAAAGATTTCTATAGTTTTATTGAAAATGTGAATAGCAGTCTTATATATAACATTATGCCCAGGGCCGCACAATTTCCTATAAATCTTGGAGCCACAGACAAATACTAGAAGGTAAAAAGGGTAAAGTTTTCCCTGTGCTTAATTTAAACAGTTCCGTCTAGTGTGACTGGTGACGATTTTTCTTATTTCAATTATTCATGCCCTTACATGTTTTGGTCTTCAGAGGGACACCTTTACATCAGTACAGTTAGAAGCCACTATTACAGTACATGTTCTAAAAGTTAAAATACGTATATATACATACTACGTAGGCGAGTCAAATGAAAACCTTAAATATTTTTGGGGTATTATTTATTGTGCGCAAGTGGTACTAAGCTGTATCACTTTTCATCATAATCTTNTAGACGAGGAGCATCTTCCACTGAAGTCACACCATTTGCAAACTTCCTACTCCATTCGTACACTTTCTGATGTGATAAACATGCATCACCATACTGAAACTTCATTCTTTGATAAATTTCAATAGGTTTCATACCTTCACTACACAAAAACTGAATAACAGAACGCTGTTCTTCCCTGGTGCAAGTCTCAAGTGGGGCAGCCATCTTATACTGGTGCTGTGACGGTGTTCGTGCATCTGCGCTATGCTGCAACCTACAGGCCATTCTGCACGCTTACCAACTTACAGGATAATGGCGTGAAATTTCGATTTTTTATTACAAATTTAAGGTTTTCATTTGACCCACCCTCATATATAAACAATATACAATTGGGTGTAAAATTTAAAGTCTTTACAACTACAGCGGCTGTTCCAATACATTAAAATATTTATACTTGGTTTGTTAAGACTATTGGAATTCGTAAACCAAGGTGGTTCATGTTGTCCCTCTTATTATTTCTTTTGACGGGCTGAATGTGTGCCGCCTTGTTGTTCTCGAAAAGAGGGTTCTTCGATGTTGTCCTGTATGTGTTTGTGGTGCACTGTGTTGTTTTAAATAATTGAAATGAGAAAAATCTTCACCAGTCACACTAGACGGAACTGTTTAACTTTTCATGATATTATTAGTGTGATGGACCAGAATGAAACAAATTTAGTAAGTATCATTCCATGAATATATAAGGGGGAGTGGAGGTATAGATGCGCATATTCTTAACCTTGGCACTGTATGAAGGGAAATAGTCTGTTTCATTCTTAAAGTATTTTTCCCTGGGGAAAGAGCAGCTGATACCCATTGAGTGGGAGGCTGGCCTGAATGCTTTGGACAAGAGAAGAATCGTTTGGTCCTCATGAAAATCGAGCCCCAATATCTTGGCTCTCTGGTCCACAGTTAATTGCTATACTGACTGAGCTACCCTTACTCCAACATAAACTAGGAGCCAGAATAAAGAACAGAATATCTTGGATGAGAAAAATTTGCTCATTTTCTGCTAAACAGATGATGAGTGCAATTTCTGTGTAGCCATAACATGCTTAGAGAAAACTGAGCACATCATTGAAGAGTTCCATCTTCCGAGATATAACACCGTGTTGTCCACTGAAAGTCAGAGAAACATGTTGCCTCCATCTTTGGGTTGATGAATGAGCCAAGCAAGAAACCACCGTGAAGCAGGCAGCAAGCAGAAATTTTAAATTACCATATATAGGAAAGAGGAAGAAACTGCAAGACAAGAACTCAGTTCCCATTGGCTTGCCCATAGGGCAGAAAGAACCAATAAGAGTACAACTACGACTTTCGAGTTCCCAATTGGCTGACCCACAGACCTGAGCGAAATGGAGCTAAGACCAGGATAGGCAGGGTGGCCCTGAAAAGGGCTGCATTTGTGCTGGCCTAGGAGAAGATGTGGGGAATTGGTAAGGGTATGGAGGGCAAGCCAGTTGCACTGCTTGCTGCCTGCTGCTGTTGGTGTCTTGCTTTGCTCATTCTTCGAGCCTGAATGTGGAGGCGACACGTTCCTCCCAAATATCCCTTGATTTTCAGCAGCTACACGGCGCTATATACCAGCAAATAGAACTCTTCATAACCACCGGTGTGAGAACCTTAAACCCTACTGGATTGTGGAGAAATGAATGATGTGGTGAAGAAATGGAAAAGTTGGAAAAGTAATGTGGAAGAAAGGAGGGAATAGAACCTTGAAGATGGAGGCAGCGGGCTCCTTCGAAACGTTGGTAACAGTCTAAGATTCTAGATGACAGCAATCTTTAGAGTCACTGTTATGAAAATCTTAAAAAACCTCATTTTATGTTGTGCAGTCCTTGCTCGGTTGAGGCTTGTATTGCAGTGTTGAGACTACTTTATTTTGAACTCAACTGTACACCCTACATTTGTGCCAAAGTAATCTACAACTGTTGTATTTCAAAACCTCACTGACTCTGGAAGTATCATCTGTTATCACCATCAGCACAACCATGAAACATACAGAAACAGGTAACACGCAAACATTTTGTCAGGAATGTACATTTGTTGATCCATGAAGTTACATTCTTGCAAGCAGGTCATTATGATCAGAACTGAAATTAGTCTTTTTTCTTGGGGTGGGGTGAGACGGAGTCCACTTGGTACATCGACCACTATTTGGCCTTTCATACCAGCCCCTGATGTTATATGACGATGAATGTGGAGTAGTCAGTGAAAGGAGAATTGGCAGGGGAAACTGAAGTAGTCAGAAAAACCTGCCCCTGTGACCTTTCCTTGGCCGAACCTGGGCTGCCATGGTGGTGAGTAGGTGACTAACCCGAGCTGTGGCATGACCTGCTGAGGTGTAAGGTCACTAGTGAAAGTGTAAGCAATGTGAAACTTGTACCCATGCCATTCATGAGAAGAAATTAGGTAAATTTATGAACATTATTATGATTTTGGGCATTCTCCATTGTCTTGAGTTTATTGAATTACAGTGTTTTGTACCTGCCTGTTCCTGTAATCAGGTAGAAGGGAGCAGTGGTTCCTGTAAAGACAGTGCAACCCTTGATCATTGGACAGTGTCTCTCTGTGCTTAATTAAGCACCATTCACTGAACACATGGGGAAGTGCAAGCATAGCTGTGCACATTCTTAACCTTGGCACTGGTGAGTGGTGAGCTTCAAGCCTTGGCTGCATTGCCCCTGGTGAAAGAACCCACAGCACTCTTTGGACAGGAGGCTTTGTGGGTCCCAGAGCTATTCTATGCACCATAGGGAAAGGAAAAAATCTTTTGCCCCTGCTGGCAGTCGAAATCAGATTCATCAGCTGTCCTGTCTGTAACCCATCACTGTGCCAACTGAACTACCCCAGCTCCTGTATTGTGTTTGAGAAAATTCAAGATTCTGGACACTGTCCAAACTAGTAGTCATGTTTATTGTAACATTGCAGGTAAACTCATCTGGGCAGTAAACTGTGTGAATATACTGGCAGTGCACAAACATTTCCAGCATAAGTTGCATGAACATAAACAGTACGATATTGACAGATACAGAAATAAATGTGAAATTATGGTGCATCGCATTTTATTCCAGGAATTGGTAAGTTGAGCCATGTAAAAGAAATCATTAGAACAACTTTGTACAATTTTTATCAGATTTTAATTTATTTTTTCTTCCCATGAAGAAATAAAAACCTGTAAGGGAGTGAGATAGGTTTATTGAAATTAGTTTGACGCTCGGCAATGGATGGGAGGACGCCAACAAAGAAAGTTTCGTTGATCTTAAAATAGCATAAAGACATGTAATCTAAAATGTACTTACAACTCCCTCTTTTAGTTTCATCCCTTGCGGCTGTATCGTGGTTTCTGAAGAATTTTGTTTGGACTGCCATAGGAATTGGTAGATTCTGGTAGGCTTCGGGTACAGGAAACGCTCTGCTTTCTTGTCTGTTGGGGTCATCTTCATCCTCCTGCAGCTGTTGGAATTCCTTTCTGTAGAGTTGTAGAAGCTCGAGGATCGCTACAATATTATCCTTCTGTTTAAGGTCCTGCTAGTACAAAAATGGATTTTGTTTTCACAGTACTCCACATCATTGGTTCTTAACTTTTTCATTATTTTAGTCCCCTTTCTGATCCTTCATAGTCCCCCACACAGGCTTTATAGGTACTCTTTAGGCCCCTAATGAAGCCTCTAAGGCATTTGTATTTCAGTACTTCCCCCACCCCCACCCCACCATTTTACTTCATTCCATTGACATCAGGTATCATGGAAACGTCGATCAACAAACATGTAACTTTTCTTTCTAAAAGTATGAATTAGGCTTGTTTCATGGTGTGGCATTTATCACACTTTGTTGGTCCCGGAATGGACATATTTCAACTGATTTTGATGTATGTTGATCGGACTAATTATTATTATTAACCAACACTTTATATTTTGTAATGGTACTGCTTTAATTATTAGAGTATTGACCATGTTTCGAGTGAATATGTTTTTTCTCTCATCACATAATGGCTGATCTGTTTGCACTAATTGAGTTGCCTTGTTTTGTCTTCTGTTTCTTTCTTCTGCTCGTTTTAAAATTGACGAGTAAGCACGTCAGTAAGTGCAATTTGAATTGAATTGTTATGAGTGAAGGGAAAATAAGCTGCCACTTTGTCATGGATACTGTTAGCCTTCATGTACTCACTAAATTAATTACAGACTTCTCTAATTTTACTGTAAGCAGTCGTGTAAGGTTCCATCCCCTGCCCAGGTCTGCCAACACTACCAACAGTATATGTATGTAAGAAAGGTAAAGTTATCCCTGTAACAGGCCGTGAAGTCCTATAAGGTTGTGAGACATCGAGGCTCACACATTATCTAGACAATCGGCTCACAGATGGCGGTGAGGTTGTCAGCCTTACACGTCGGCCGGTGGCGCTTTACCCCCAGGAAGATTCCTGGTACTCATTTTTGTTAAAGACTAAGTCGACTCCAGGGCTATAGTGCGGCTGGAAGGATTAGGTCAATTGAAAACTCCAGTTACCTCGCGGGGAATCAAACCCGCGACCTTTCGGGTTTTAGCATAGTGCCTCAACCAACGTTACCGTGTACCCCATTGTATATCTGTACTGGTTACTTTTTTATTAGTAATACGGTCTGCCTGGGGAACACCTTTACTTTGTGTAATACTACTTAGTTTATTTTGCTTTTTCCTGATATAATATTCCGTTTTACATTCTGTTGTATTTATTATGTATTTTAGTGCTTCCCTATGCCAGACCACTGTGTTCGCAAGCAGTCTTAATACTGTAGATGCTCGTAGTGAAGTGAAGTATTATTTAAGGACACTCGTTATTGCAGACTAATATTATCGAACGATATGGTGGTTAGTAAGCAATGCACTGAGAGGACGCGGAAGGAAGCAGTCATAGTGTAAGGTCCGGAGGGACTGAGGAAGACCACGAAATACCTTAAGCAGTACGGCCGGTATCGGGGCCGAGATCCGAACTCCGGACGGATTATTGACGTGGTTACTTCCGTTTACATAGCTCACCTGCATTGCCCTTTCTGTGAGGCTCAAGGCCTCAGGAGCAGCCCGTACCGTGCAGCACAAAGTCATAATCATAACGAGGGCCCATAAAATCGCCGTCCTTGAGGACATTGTGGTGGATACCATACCTGTGGAAGGATCAGATGCACACAGGTCAAGTTGTTTAACTCTGCAAGGCATACATTTATTCTAAATCATATAAAGAATTTAATCCCTACCTCACAGGAAACACCCTGTTTGTCTGTTATGTAAAACGATTTATTAATGCTCTTTAGAGAAACTGTCGTCCCTTATGTAGGGCTTGAGGTTCTCATGGCGGTGGTTATGAGTGGTTGTATAGAAGTGTGTCTTCTGGATATAACCCCTGTGTACTCCGTTGAAACCCGACTTTTTGGAGGTGACTAATTCCTCCGAAACGTCTGTTGACTTTCAAAGGTCTACACGGAGTCATATCCCTGAAGACGGAAATCTTCAGTCGCTGTTTATTCTGAGAACCACACGAAACACATAAATGTACTGTGTAGGCAGAATGCAGAGTTTCTTAATGTGGTGCCTGAAGTAGCGTCTATGCTTTAAATGGTTACAGGTTTTTAACGGGATTCATATCATGTAAATTTCTCTTTACGCGGGTACACAACACGGCGGAGCGCCTATTCAAATCTCTACGTCTGTCAGTACGCGTGAATCAACAGTTCCGAAACTCTTGATAAGAAACATACATTACGTACTGTTTCTAATACCGCTGTTTACTGTTCAAGTGACAAAGTTGGTACAGTTTACCTAGTATAATACAATTTCGAAAACTCCAGCTTCAACATCAGTGCACTTTGCAGCTCGTGTGAGGACATGGCGTGCTGCTCGTCTGTACAGTGTAGCTCTATCTCGGAAACAGTTCAGAATGGGACACATGTACATATACACTTTTTTCTGTTTAGAAGGGCCTTACTGTGACCTCCCAGAATATTGAAATTTCCTCATGGGACATTCTGTATATTCTAGACACTGACAGCGTCGTAAAGTGTCCCACATGAAGAGGAGAATATCTCTCCTGACTTTCTCTTGGTTTTCATCAATTCTAAGGAATTTTCAGGTTTGTGTCTTTTAAAATAGGCCGTGGCGTGTACTCCGAAATGTTATCAGGCTACATTGATCGCGTTTATGTGCCAACATGTCTGTATATAAACGAGATAGCGTGGAATTCTCATAGATTCTCACGAATGGTTGCTGTGGGAACTGCGTGCCAGGTTTGATGTGATGACGACATGTACGAAACGCGGATATTCGTGTTCTTCGCGTGGATTGACGGGTGGGCATGTTGAGAAACGAAAACTTCTGACACGCTTACGTCACAGCAACGTGCATGACATTCCTATCGGACCATAATCCCTTCCCATTGAAGCTGTTCCGAGCTATCTGAATCTACAAATCGCGCCTCAACAGCCGAAGAGGGAATTTCATGGCAGGAGGGCTCTGGATGACGTCACAGTTCCATATTATTTGACGTGGGTAGAACCCCTGCCTCGTGTTCTGGAAGTCCCGGGCGCAAACTTCGGATCGGGTACCCCCTATCCTGACTGAGGGTTTCTCAGTCGTTTTACTTGGCCCCAAAATCGAACGGTTGGATTATACGGCAACCCAACCTCACCGCCATCTGTGAGCCGATTGGCTAGAAAATGTTGGAGCCTCGACGTCTCACAACCCTGTGGGCCTCCACGGCCTGTTACAGGGATAGCTTTACCCTTGCCATTTGTACCGCATAGGAGACAACATTACGTCTCCGCTACAAAGCCCAACCGGTTAATGCTGTTTAGAGAAATATCGTTGTTTATTGTGAGAACCATACGAGACATGCAAATAAGGGTAACATATCAGATTTTGTCCTCCGCTTCTTTCGCACATTAATTTATTATTTTTTGTAATTTCTTGGGGTGGGGTGAGACTGAGTCCATTTGGTACGTCGGCCACCAAATGGCTTACTGTACCAGCCCTGGGCGATAGATGATGTGTGTGGAGCAGCCGGTGGAGTGAGAATTAAAAGGGGAAACCGAAGTCCCCGGAGAAAACCTGCCTCAGTGCCACTTTATCCACCACAAATCCCACATGACCCTACCTGGACTCGGAAACCTGCGACTGACGACCTGAGCTATGGCACGGCCTTCTCACGTTTAGTTTCAACCCAAGGACAAAGGGAAAATAAATTATGAACGTTAATATTGCAGCTATACATTTATAGGGCCCAAAGGTTAGGAGCACAACATTTTTAGCCTTATTCGTGTAAATGGGATTTTCCAAGAAGTGTCATTTTTAACGAGCTCAAAAGAAGTGTTCCTAAGTATCGTCCCCCGATCCCTTAAGAAGAGACGCGGGAAAATGAAAGGCCATGTACTGTATTACGTATGCGTGAATGTTTAATAGAATACAAAAATGATATAAATATATGATGTGGAAAATAATCCCTTTATGTGACACATGGAATACAAAATTAATAAACTCATTATTACAGTCTGGACGGAATGCAGAGATTTTTAACGTTAAAGTAGGGGGTATGTATAATTACCACTGTACTTTGAAGGGTTAGGGGCTACAGACGCCTCTTCCCACATTCTTTGCATTTCATCACTCGCAGGCATCCTAGCGCCTATTGTTTAGTGAGCTCTGCATTTAGAATGAACTGTCAGTAACAGAAGAATTCCGATTTGTTCGGATATACGAGAGAGAGAGAGAGAGGGAGCAGACGTTGGCAAGACTTGTGGGACACAATGCCATAAAGGTAAAAAGGTAAAGTTGTCCCTGCGCTTAACTAATTAAGCACTACGCCATGAAGGCGTATGGGGCAGTGGATGTATAGAGCCACATTCTCTTCACCTCTGCACTAGCTGGAGGCGAGTGACCAGCTTCACGCCCCGTTTTCAAGATGTTACCCTTTCTTTTATTTCGTGGCGTAGGGTGACATGAGAACAGTCCATTTGGTACGTCGGCCGCTAGTCGGCCTATTGTACCAGCCCCGGGTGATAGATGATGAGTGTGGAACTGTCGGTGGAATGAGAATTGGCAGGGGAAACGGAAGTACTCTGAGAGAACCTGCCCCAGTGCAACTTTATCTACCACAAATCCCACATGACCCGACCTGAGATCGAACCCGAATCCCGGAGTTGGGGAAGCAACGACTAACCGCCTGAGCTATGGCGCCGCCTCGGGATTTTATTTTCGGGTTCATCTAACGATGCTGTCAGTAGCTCAGGCGCTGTAGTGTCGAATGGTAGGATGACTGGTGAAAAGCAGTGGATACAGACGGGCGTTTGATGTATTAATCCAGCAGTTTTGTGAAGAGACTGAGGAAGACTACGAAACCTTCAGTCAGGTTAGCCAATCTTTGAACGAAGATATCGATGCAGGGGATTCCAGGGTACGGGGCAGGAGTACCAACCGGTCTACTGCGAAGTGAATGTAATCATGGATGGCCCTACTGTTACTTGGGATCACGTACACGGTTGCCAGAACATACAGTTGAAGGAACCAAACGAAATGAGGCGTCTGTTTGCGCCATTACTGCCAGTATTTACTGACAGTCGCGCTGACATTTCTATCGCCACATCAGTCGCCAGTGATTTCCACGTGTGTTGCCAATAAACGCTCTGCAACTGTTTGCTAACAGGCGATCATTAGTGTCAGTCACTGCACACAAGTGAGGACCAAGGACCCATTCGTAGAACTGTCTTCCGAGAAGTGATACTATGTAGTATGGTAGAGGTTTACCAACGTTTCTGCGGAATATACTGCCTCCTTCATCAGGATATGAGTATGCCGAGCAAACTAACAGCAATCAGTTCTGCTTTGCTATTGCTTGATTGGCATACTCTTATACCCTGGAGGTGGAGGTAGTATATTGCTCCGAAACGTCTGTAAGATTACGCGGCGTCACACACCAGAAGATAATACTCTTCACAGTCGCCCCGCGGTCAGTCCAGCGTCCTGGGAGGCGTAGGAAGTTCTGTCTTTATAATGCTGTAATAAGTAAAGTTGTCCCTAAATAAGTCAGCACTGCGCCATGAAGACATACAGATCCACATTTTCTTGACCTCAGAACTGGTTGGAAGTGAGTGGTCAGCTTTACGGACCGGCCGCTTTACCCCCGTGGAAAGAACTCCCAGTACACATTGGATAGGCTGGTTGGGCACCAGGGCCGGTCTGGACGACATGGAGAAGAGAAAATTCTTGACTGCCGGGACTCGAACTCTGATCCCTCAGCGTGAAGCCCGTAGCCAGTCGCTGTACCGACTCCGCTGTTCCGGCTGCCGTTATAACTCTATAAACTCATTAAATTCTGTGACTCGTCACCTCACGGTTTATAAAACTGTGGCTCGCGACCCGCTCAAGTGATTTCGACCTAAGGGAGGTCGCAAAGGTCCCAAGAATTAACATGAAGTGTTGTTCTGTGCGCACAGTTTTGGCAAACCAGTAAGATTTAATGTAGACGCTTTCGGAAAATATGTCTGCTGCCGGCGTACTGTTGCAGAACGTGAGCATTTCTTAGCTTGCTGTAGGTGTAGAGAGGCTGTAAGGCTGTCGAGCTTCCTGCTGTCATCGTACAACACGTGGATCGCGTAGAGTGTTGTATTATTGTAGGGAATCCGCGTATCTCAAAATCTGAGAACCCATGAATTACCTTGAAAGTCAACCTACGTTTCGGAGGAACATGTCGCCTCCATCTTCAGGATCGAAGAATAAGTTAAGCAGGGAACCGGAGCAGTGCTTGCCGCCTGCTTTCACTCTGGTTTGTTGCTGGGCTTATTCTTCATCCCTGAAGATGGAGGCGACACGTTCCTTCGAAACGTCGGTTGACTTTCAACGGACTACACGACGTTATATTCCAGAAGACAGAACACTGGATTGAACTAGCTGAAGATAGGTTGCAGTGACGAATTCTTGTGAGTATGGTAATGAACCGTCGGGCTGCATAAACACAGAAAATTTCTTCGACTAGCTGAGTAACTACCAGATTCTGAAGGATTTCTCGATGGAGTGACACATAATCGTAGGCTTGTACGACCTGGTGTGCAGTAGGTTTACCAACAATTCAATAATACGTCATTTGGAAGGGTATCTGTTGGTAACACTGCGACGGTAA